GGGAAAGAGACGCTGGGGGCTCGGAGCTGGGACTTCTGTGGGGAGGCCAGGGAAGCGGGTGGCCCGAGGCAGTGGACCAGGAGGCACGGTTTTCTCCAAGGCGTTGTTGACAGGTTTCCGTTCAGATAAATCAGTGCTCCTCACTCAAGTGACCCTTTGGCAAGAAACACACTTGCCCTGGCCAACACATGGCCTACCCACGTGCCCTCCACAGGGAGAATATAAAGGACATCACCGAGTTTCCACCCTAACAGGCCATATCACATGTCAGCGAGGGCGCTTTGGTGACAGGCAATAGAAACCGGTTCCGGCTAAGCGGAGGGAAAGGCCGCCACTAGGAGGGGGCTGGCAGGCTCCAGGCACCGAGCAGGAGAGGAGCTCGAGAAGGTCCAGGAATCTTGGTAGCAGGGACCTTTGGTGGTCTCCCCTGGGCCACTGGCATGAAGGCCCGGTGGCTTTCAGTTCCAGTGCCCGTGGGTTCTGAGGGGGAATTCTAGCTGGCCCAGGTCACCCTCGTGTCCCTCCCTGGACGCGGGTCAGGCATCTTGACTGGAAATGCCTCCAGGTACTCACAGATGGAGGAGGGGCAGCGTGTTAAAGAGAAAAAGAGAATATCATGACCAAAGGAGGGAGAGGTGCTGGGAAGTGGTCAATGGATGGCCGCCACCTTAGCGGCGGGGAGTGATCAGCGTTCATTGTTGTCTTTTCCTGCAGTACGCAGGGAGGATCTGATTGCCAGACATGCTCAGGTCTGTGAGAAAAGTGACAGTAATTCTTTCTCTGTCGTGGAAACGGAACGGGAGGAATACACCCGTTCAGGCTTTCTCTCCCATTTCCTTTCAGTCGCACCTGAGCGTTGGGGGTTTTGTGAACCAAGGTGACGCAGTTACCTGTTTCCGCAGCAGAAACCACCCCACCACCCCACGTGGAGTGGCTTGCGGCAGTTCTTAGGCCGTGGAAGTGCTCTTCCATGGAGCAGCTTTTGTCTGTGTGGCGCTCTTGGGGTTTCAGTGGTCTGTGCTTGGTCATTTATGCTAATTTCTTGGTTTAGGGTTTCCTGAACACACAAGTGCTGGCCCTGTTTTCCATTTCCTCATGCTCAGTGCTCTGTCCCCCACTGAGGCCCTGGTAGACTGCGGGCGTCCTTACCCCTTCCCTGGCTTGCAGAAGGAGACTGCCTCAGTCCACAGTTACGCAGACAACTCGCTCGCAGCTCGCTGCCTTGTCTGAGCCCAAGTTCACGTCTTCTGCTCTCACACTGGCTTGTGAGATTGGAAGCTTTACTGTGACAGAGATATAACTTATTGCAAAAAAGATTCCTTTTCCAACCCCTACCCCCGCCAATTTCCCACTCCTCACTGAAAATATGTTAGAACTTTCAACACGTTTTCTTTGTACATCCAAAAATATGCATGTATATGTGTACATATGTGTATCTGTAGATGCACACACATATATAATTAATTAAAAGACGGACGCACACTAGGCACATCTTTACATGTTTGTGGGAGTATATCCGTGTTAAAACTTCTAATAGTGGGATCTCTGAATCAAAGAATATGTGCATTTAAAATGTCCACAAATAATGGCAAATCATGTATACAGTATTATGTATATAACGTGTAATATTGATCTTCATGGAGATCTTGTATCATTTGTATTAAATTCATTCCTGGATAGGGGGACCTCCTCATCTGAGTATTCTTTATCCCTATCCCAGCAGTTACAGTCCTCGTGAAAGCAAAATTTTTAACATCAAAATATTCACTCACCGGTGACTTGGTGTAGTCATCACTTCCCATTGCCATTTGGTCCATTTGGTCAGAGGCTCGAAATAGAATGAAAATCAATTACTAAGTAAAAAGGGCGGGTCTTTAACAACGTCTGGAGTTTCATGAGGTTGG